GGATGGATATAGCTAAAATGTTGGTAGAGGTAAAAATGCATAAAACATTGTAGTGATGTTCAGTCACCATTCTCTCATCTACAAATCGTACTGACAATTCGATCAAGCATAACTATGTTCTAAAGAATAGCAAAGTCTGCTCCAAACATCTTTTAGAACTCAAAGAATTCTACAGTAGGTCAACTTTGTTCTGTTCTAAAGAGATACTTATACATAAGAGTACCAAAAGCTTCTATACACATTTACTATGAAAAGGGATGCCGACTATGATTTTAACTATTTATGAGACGTGGGAGAACACTATGGCCTAAACATATATAAATTGTAAAATTTAGTACGTAGAATTTCTCCTCGACAGTATGCTACCTTGTGCACCAAAACCTGATAACACTTCAAGATTACCAGTCTCCATTCTCCACTTTGTTCAGATATATCATCATAATGCAATCTATTCCTTACATATACCAAAAAAATTGCAAAGTGGCCGCTTGTCCTCAAACATTTATGAATCTAGAATATAGCAGGACGTATCCAGACAGGTTTTACATTTGGATGGGATCTCATTTCAAGAAAAACTCCTTCGATTGCTCCATCCGTATGTGAAGGTGTTGAAGGAAACCCAAAGTCTGCCAAGTAAAAAAAAACAGATATACTGACATAAACATGTTAAGAAACAGAAGCTCAAAAATAGCAGGTCAGTAACAAGACGATTTTATCAAAGATGAGTATGAAATCATTTACCAAGCAATCCTATCGTCGAGTTTTAGAAACATATCCTTTTCCTGCAATAGAGCTTACTAATCGTAATCGGTAAAATAATTCAAATTAGTTTCATATATGGTTTCGTGGATGCACTAATAAGCTAACTTAATCTTCTAGAGTTCGAATTTATAGATACATACATCATAATAGTCAATAAATGAACAATTTCCAGAAATTACATTATCAAAATCTTCCTAGCTTCTTCTAAAAGCAATTTTGGATTCAAGATTTGGTAATTAAATTGAAGCAGTTAACAAGGTTCCAAAATCTGCACAAATCCACACAAAAAAAACAAGAAATAATCATGGAAAAGGATAAGAATCACTCAAAGGGTTAATCAATTTAGGGTTCTAAGGAAAAAAACAATTTCACCAACTCAAAAACATCACTGAAATCTTGAAAATCGGTGAAAGTGCTCCAGCCCCAGCGCTGGAGAAGTACCCGATCAATGACCCGTTCCGTTTTCCAACTCAAATGAATGGAGGTCCACTCGCTAGTTGATAATATTTTCCATGCCATTAGAGGAAAATCACAAGCCTGACAAATGTGTCTTTTTCAAGAAAGCGATATGACATTTTTTTCACATACAGGGCATTCTTTTGTAAATGAAATGACAAAAATTTATCTAAACATCAGGAAATACTGTATTCTTTCTTTAGAGATGATCACACATATTTGTCAGGTTTGTGATTCTCCTTACATATAACATGAAAGATTATCATTTGATGAGACGGAGGACCATTTCTAGCATCTAAGAAAGAAAAAGGAACGAGATTGACCGATCTGAAAAAAACTAAACACATGTGTTAGGATATGAATCTTTCACCATTTATAACCAACCAAAAAGTGAGATGTGATGAAGCGTTCTCACTTAGTAATAAATGCATTTTACTACTTTTGAATAATAGAAGATCACATTAATTGAAGATACACAAAGAGAAGATTACAATAATTATTTGGTTAGAGGGCACAAATAGTTATTGCAGACAAATACAAAAAAGTAGAGATTACAGTAATTGGTTGGCACTTCTTTTAAGTTAGAAAAATTAAACAACTTCAGACAAGGTGTTCACACTTAACAGTTTGGTTTGACTCAATTTTACTTACAAACAACAACAACAAACCCAGTATAATCCCACATAGTGGGGTCTGGGGAGGGTAGTGTGTACGCAGACCTTACCCCTATCTCGTGGAGATAGAAAGGCTGTTTTCAATAGACCCTCGGCTCAGTGAAGCATAAGCACAACAATAATGAAAAGAAAACAGGCAGAAACAATAATGAGGAGCCATGGAAAAGAAGCATTGAAAACAACAAGATAGTAAGATAACCAAATCGAAAGCAACACCAGGCAATAATAGAAACCTATGACTAAAAACAAGACGAGAGTATGTCCTAATGCTACTAGTGAGACCAAGAAAAACCACTCGGCCACCTAACCTTCTACCCTAATCCTTGACCTCCATACCTTTCTATCAAGGGTCATGTCCTCGGTAATCTGAAGCATCGCCATGTCTTGCCAATTTTACTTACAAAGAAAACATAAATTAAATTATTCCTATGCTAGGAGCAAGGTTCATTTGATAGTTTTATCATAATGAACCAATACCTTAATTGTTGCCCAGGCATCTAATGCTATTTCACACTGACTACTATTCTATGAAGACTCTAAAGACTCCAATTATTTAACCCAAAAGGAAAGAAAGGACTTCAAACCTCAAAAGTAATTTGAGGATCTTCAGCCTATAATTTCAGCAAAAAAAATGGTGGAATTACCTGTGGAGGAAGTTATTAGCTCAGAACTATTAAAATTATGTCTCTGGAGGAATTGTTTTTGATAAGATAACTATGTCTCTACTCTCTAGAGGAATAAATGTCCCGTAATAGCCATATGCCATAAACACCTTCAACGGAACAGTCTAGAAGTCGAAGAGAAGAGTAATGACCTGGGGAACCAAGGCTCGAATCTCAACATAGGCGATACTATGTGAATTCTTCCTCTCCCCCACTCTCTCTACAAATAGGATTGCATAAGCACTAAGTAACTATTACTGTTCATTGCTAACTCTTATCCACAACATTCTAGGAACGAGTCCCTCAACAACAATGTTAGTCGAAAAGCTTGCAGCTATTTTGTCCACGTGACACGTTACGGTTGCGACACTTGCAAAAATTTCATGACCTAATCAAATTGCAGTAGCAGATCACACCTTCAGATTTTAAGTTTGAGCTTTGAACATTACCAGAGTATTGAAGTTCTTTAAAAGGTATCCTAATAACTTTCCACTAATTTCTGGCTGCTTGTTATTTCTTGTCTGTAAGCTTTCTGCCACAACATGCTTGGTTTTATGTTCCATCTTGTCATACCAAGTTGCATAGAGTGAATTCTTTGACAGTTCACTAGTTTGATTTCTTAGTAGTTCTGCTATGTGGCTCCAGTATGAGTACGACAATCAAGAATTAACAGTCTTGAGTCAAGACATGTCACCAAGGTTCTAATTCTAGCCGTTCAACTTGCTTTTAAGATGCATCCTCACTATTAGATGTAATAAAAAAGAATACATCCGAAAGAGGCTAACATATAAGTAAAATAAGGCCCATAAAGTGTGAAGAACTGAGAACACCATAAATTATTCCTATTCAAAGAGCATGGCTCATTTAAGAGATTCCTCGTTATGATGTGAAAAATCGTAATTGTTCACAGACATGTAATATTTATAGTCAACAATGGAAGTGAATCGACACAGACAAAAAAAACAAGCTTTAGGAAACAACAAAGATTAGAGGTTATGGTTGTCAGTATCAATCAGAATAATTTGAAAATATGTAGTGTCTCGGACAAAGAATTGTCAGCATGAAAAACCCAACCCAAAATGGAAAAAAAGGCATTTCAATCTTCAAAGTATCCGAGAGCTCCAGCCAACAAATTTAGTAAGCACAAAGGTACCAATCACCTGTATCATCTTTATGAATAATGTTCCTTAATGCCATAAGTCTGCTAAATCACGCTTAATATCATACACAATCACCAGGAAATGAGAAAATAAAGGACAATGCTTCCCAACAAAAGAGAAACAGCTCAGCAAGTTCTAAGGAAGTCAAGAACCTAACTTCATCTAAAACTGCTACATTAGGTTCCAACTAGATATTTGCAGGGTCTCAAGGGATAGGTGCCGAAGCCAAATTCCAGGCTCCCCGAAGGTGGTAGAGATAAAATGTTGCATCAGATCTAGTGAGGCAATAATAGTGTTATCAAAGGCGCGCTTAAGCCCTAAAGCGAGGCTCAAAACATGTTAAGCGCTTCGCCTCGCTTAGCGGGCGCTTTAGTGTTGTCATCAAGGCTCCAAGGCATACTTTTCCTTGCCAACGAGCATAATCCTGAAAAGGTGACACTAAACAATTGATATTTTACTTTTGTCATAAATTTTCTTCAATTTCTTTGATCATATATTTAGTATGTATGCTTATACATTTTAGTCTTGGACTGCACATATATATTTGTCGTTTTTCTCCATTTGCGCCTTTCTTCATTAAAGCCCACACTTGCGCTTTGCACTTAAAGCCCCAACAGACCTTAGAGTTTTTTTGCGCTTTTCGCCTTTGATAACACTGGGTAATATCATAGCAATTCCATTAGGCAATTGATGCATAACATAGACATATCCATGCTTTTGTCACTCATTTTCATCTACATATCTTATTTTCATAATTAGATCAAGCATAACTATGTTCCACAATAGGATAAGTTTATTCCATTCTAAATAGCTACTTATACATAACAATATTCAAACTTCAACACATAATTAATAAGAAAAGGCACGACAACTTTAGCTTTGACTATTTCTGACACATGAGAGCACACTATCGCCATAACTTATTGACAAGAAATAAATGGTAGAATTTAGCACAAAATACTTCTCCTTCAGGATGCAACATTCTGCACCATAACAGGTTTCACAGGTAATTAAACAAGCTGATTTCAGCAAATATGGAAAGTAATCAGCAACTAAGAAATCCTATCATGAAGCTTTAATAATCTTTCACTTTCCTGCAACTGAACTAACTCATAACGCATTTGAAAATAAAAAAGTTCAAAACTTTAGGAAATGGATGAAACTAATCATTAGAAGGCTGAAGAAATCACCAGTAAGCTATAGCAGAAAAGAAGTAAAAATGTGAAAACCTAATTAAAACTTAACACTAAAGAAGCCCTAGTTCACTGCTTCTCATAGCACAACGTTATTTACTTTATTACAAAAATCAGAAATGCTTGTTAAACTCAACAGCACACAGAAAAAAACTAAATTTTGAAGGAAAAATTTATCAGCCAATTTAGTTTCTACTTAAAGGAAAAAAAATTAGTCCAATCAATTAAGAACAGATTTAGCAACATGCTCATAATGGTCTATTAGCTAATTAAGAAAAAATTAGGGTTCAAATTTTGGGATTTAAACTGAAGCAGCTTACTAGGGTTTCAAAAAGCGGAGATATACTCACGAAAAATTAATAAGATTTAATTCGAAGGGTTAATCAATTTAGGGTTTTGAATAAAAATAACATTTTTTTTCAAAAATCATCACCGGAAACCTGAAAAAACGGCGAAAGATCGCCGGCGCCGGAAAAGTGTCCGATCAAATACTCGTTTCTTTGTCCGACTCAGACGCATGGAGATCCGGTTACCGATTGGTACCATTTTCTGTGTCATGGAAGGAGAATCACAAGCCTGACAAATATGTCACTTTCCAAAAACGGAACCAAGAAGGAAAGAACATGTCTTTTTTAAGAAAGAAGAAATTTATTAAAGGAAACCCGCGATACCGAAACCTAATTGCAAGACTTATAATTCTCCTTCTACATAACAAGAAAATTATATCATTTGATAAGGCGGACCACCATATCTCAGCATCTAAGCAGGAAAAAGAAATAAGGATTGATCATTAAAAAAAATTCTAACATAAAAGGGATAGAATTTGATTGTTCTATTTATAACGGTAGCTGGATGAGATATGTACTAAGCTCTAGAAAGTCCAAGTAATAAATGAGTATTTCTATTCTTAAAAAGTGCTATGATAAAAATTAAAATATGATGCATGTGTACTCTTCCTTCATGATTTTTCTCTCAAATGTTTAATGACATATTTAATGACATATTTTCTGTGTTGAATGACATATATCATGACATATTTTCTTCATTTTTC